AGTAGTTAAATATATGATTGATTTGATAAATAATATAGATGAAGAGACTAGGTTTAAATCCTGGTTCATATATCTCCAAAGATCATCATCTTTCTATATCACCAAGGAATTTGCTATAAAACCATTAATTCACTGTAAAAACATAAGTGCTATTATCTCCTATCTTAATCTTGTTTCATTATTTCACTCTTTATATTAAAAATAATAAAAATCATGTTAATTGCATGATTTCTCCTATTTCTAAATTGGATAAACGTGTAGGAAGTTATGAAAGAAAGAAATAATGTTTTAACATGTCTCCCTTGTCACCATTTATTTGATACCCTCTTGTCTTGGGCTTGTAATTTATAATATTCAGAATTCTATTAGCTATTAAATATTCCCATCTAGATATTGCAAGGTCAGGATTTCTGGACCACCTGATCGAAGACAACTTTCCTCATTTAGAAACAAGCAGACTGCAATGACCCTTGTTGGGACTCAAAGGTGTGTAGAGGAGCAGCCTTCCTTCAACCAGCATCAAAGCTTTCTGGAGATGCACAGACTCTGTCGCTTCCATTCAGCTTTTCCTGCCACTGCTACTCTCAGATTCTCCAAAGCTACAAGATGATTAAGAGTGCCATGAGCCATTAGAATATTGTTTTGAGCTGAGTTATTAGTTTTATTTTTATTTATTGGACCAACTCAATAGCACTCTAGTTACAGAAAACCTATGATTGATCTCAAAAGACCAACACTGAAGTCCTGTCTCTGCCATTAATAGCAGCCTAGCCTTGCACAAATCACTCAACTTCTCTGAGCTTCAGTTTCCTAATACACAAAAAAGACAGGAATGTTTGCTGCCCTGCCTAACCTCCACAGATTACTGAATAGTGCAATACAACTATTAATATGAAAATTTTTTGTAAGCAGAAAACACTACAGAACTTAAAGTTACTTCTCCCTCTCTCTCATCTAGTTTTCTTATACATCGAATTTCATTCTGGGCTATAGAAATTGCACAAAATGATTTCTTTGAAGAGACATACCCTTCGCTATCAACCATCTCATCTTCCTCTTCAGTTTTTAACCCTTAAATGTACAGCATATATAACCACATTTGAAGGGGAGCAAGCCTTTTCATTTCTTTTCTACTTAAACATATATGTTCTAGCCTAAATCCTTCCCAGAAATTTGATCTGGAACCTGCAGCCATGACTTCTCTCCTTTCTCAGCCTTCCCCCATCATCCCCACCAGGCCACTGCCAGTACAGAAAAGCCTCCTCCCCAAATTTTCCTCTCAGGAGATGGAATTACATGGACTAAGAGGTGGCCTCTCTTCTAAACCCATCCCAATATCACCTTTTACTAGCCCATTCCAGTTTAGGGCTAAGATACAAACATTGAAATCAATGTGAAGTGTGGTTAGTACTTCCTGAGCTTCCTTCTCCTCATCTTCAGAATGGTGATAATAATATTTAATAGTAGAATTGTTGGCAAATTAAATGAGAGTAACACATAGTAAGTACACAATATAGTTATTGTTAGCAAGAGAGAAAAAACCTCTCTCTTGCTGGTACACGTGAAGTCAGAATTTACTTTTGACATCAGACTATTTTCTATATTTATTTCACATCATTTTTATTATTTTCCCTATATTTGCTTTTTTTGTTGTTGTTATTTTGGCTTTGGTTGTGAAAAAGTAAAATTTTGCTTTACTTCTAGTACATAAAGTTCCAAAACAAGTTGTTATAACAAAATGAACATTGAACTAAAAGTTACGTGAAGCTGTTTTTATTGTTTACTAACTCCTTTAAATCAAAAGAACAAGATGTAAACTATGTTTTTTATGTCATCTCCTGTGCTTCAGTCTCCTTGGTGCCTCAGAAAACATGAAAGAGGCTGATTTACAATCACTTCAGGCAAATTGCCTGTACAATTCCAAGGACAGGAAATGAAAAAAAAAAAGTGCAACACACACCCCCGGACATTCCACACAACATGTAGAATAAATAAACAGGCCCCAAAAGGAAACCAAAAGTTCTTGGTCTTATGTTGAAGGGGTCCCATGAATGGCTTTTGGGAGAGAATATACTACAGATGATGACATGCTGGAAAAATCCTTCAAGGGGATGAAATTGACCTCGATTAAAAAGAATCCCTTTCCCCTTTTGTCTAAAGCATGGCGAACACTTAATTTAGACAACTTCCTTTGCCTGCATTGACATTATGAAAAAGAAGTACCATGTTACAAACCTGTGCTTCTCAAACTTGAACAGGATTATGACTCGCCTGGGGATCTTGTTGAGATGTATTAATAGATACCGATTCAGGAAATCTAGGAAGGGCCTGGGATTCTGCATTCCTCACAATCTCCCGGGAGATGAAGATGCTGCCATTCTATGGGCCATACTTGGTGTTCAGTCACCTTCCTCAACAAAATAATTGGTGATGTAATTCTGGTCTTTGGCTGTTGAACAGTGGTTTTCCGTTGTGAGAAATTTGGGCCCCACAGGAATTTGGCAGTGGCTAAAGACTGTCTGATCATTGCAATTCATGAAGTGCTACTGGCTTCATGTGGGTAAGGGCCAGGGATGCTGCTAAACACCCTCCAAAGAACGGGATAGGCCCTTATAACAAAGACTTTTCTGAACCAAAATGTTAATAGTGCCTAAGTTGAGAAACGCTGCGCATTTCTCATATCAAAAATAGTCTGTTGAAATTGTTCAAAAAATAAATGAATAAAACCTGTGAGGAAAGAATAGGAGCATGTACTGCAGTCATGTGTCACTTAACAATGGGGATATGTTCTGAGAAATGTGTCGTTAGGTGATTCTGTCACTGTGTGAACATCATAGAGTGTACTTACACAAACCTAGATGGCATAGCCTACTACACACCTAGGCTCTATGGTGTAGCCTGTTCCTCCTAGGCTACAAACCTGTACAAGATGTTAGTGTACTGAATACTGTAGGCAATTGTAACACAATGGCAAGTATTTGTGTATTTCGACATAGCTAAACAGAGAAAGGCACAGTAAAAATATGAAATGATGATCTTATAGGACACCACTGTTGAATATGCAGTCTGTCGTTGACCGAAACGTTGTTATGCAGTAGATGACTGTACTTAGTTTTCAGTAAAGAGTAAGCAGTGTTTAAAACTGTCTTCAAATACATGAAAGACTATTATGCAGAAGATGCTAACCAGCTGTTCTCCATCACCCTTGAAGAATGAACAGGAAATGTACATAAAAGGACCTGTGCTATCCATCCCGTCTTTTTTTGCTTCCTTCACACCAGCCAGGCAAATCTCTTCATAATCTTGCAACCATATTTGTCTCGTCCTACATCTTATTACTTGTAGAGACCCTCCAAAATCCTGGGCACACATTTTCTTCTCACTGCCAAATCTCCTCCCCTTAAAAATCTAACTTGAAAATTTCTATCTCCATAAAGTCTTCCTTACCTAAAATGAAATGGTTACCAGTTCATCTCTAACTACAGCTGGTATTCATCTTCCTTCCACATATTACGTTTCAGTATACAAATACATTATTGCTCGTATGTGTATAAGGAGCTGTGCTAGATTTTGATAAGGGATAAGATGGATGAGTAAGAAAGTCCCTGCTTTTAAGAACTTTCCAATCTAGGAGAAAAAAATATCTCACACAGATAACTACAATGTAGATAGCATTTAATAATGATCTCTATGAGAGATTTCTTTAAAAAAATTTAAAAAGGAGGTTTTAGTAGTGAAAAATATTACTTCTAGGAAGGGGAGATGGAAAAAAAATTTATAATAGATATACACAAGTATGTATTTTTGCTTGTTTCCTTGAAAAATAAATTTTCTCCAAGTTGCAATCCTGTGCATCAAATAAGCAAGTTGTTACCAAAATGTAAAGATTATGAATTAGTCTGGATTTAGACTATATCTATTGGAAAGTTTCTAGTGAGTAAGGATTAAGAGATTGGAGTAATTTAATATAGTTGGAAGCTATGAGACTAGGAAAGAGAATTTTTCAGGATTCATGTGGCTATATTGTGGCCTTAACAAAGGAAACTGAATTTAACCTCCCCTGGACGTACCTTACGATGGTCTGTGATTTTATAGGACAGTGCTCTTTAGGAAGAATTCTTAGTTACATCTAGGAGGGAAATATTTTGGAACTTCACAAGGACACTTTAAAAAATAGTACCAAGGAAGGAATTTGGCACTATCTATTTGAGGGAATAATTCCAGAACTTATTAGGAGTTTCCAGTACCTGGACTACAGGGAAATTGAAGGGAATTAACCCTCATCGAATATGTAATATGTTCCAGGCATTGAGTAAACCCTTTAGATGTGTCATCTGATTTAATTTCAACAGCAACCTGTGAGGTTGTCACCAAAACAACATTGTAAGAAGCCCTCAGCGTATTAGCATAAGTAAGCTTCCACCCATTGCTTGATTAAGAAAGGGAAGCAGAGCAAATCTCAGGCCTGCATAGAAAGCTGTCTCTGGGTGGAGACGATCAGTTTGCCTTTCCCTTTAGAAGCAGCAAGGAAAAAGTTTTTTCTCATGAGGCTTTAAATGATGATACTTGCATCCTCTGTAGTTGAAATGAGAAAATGAGGCTGTTTACAGTTCATTGGTGGTCATGGTTTGCTGTGGGGCTCACTACTGGAAAACCATCTGTAACTGTGTTAGCCGTGTATGCGTATGTGTTTCTGCCAGCTCTTTCCTGCCCATTCTGAAATCTTTAGTTCTGGAATGATGCAAATACTAAATTACTATGGAACTTTGTTTGAATGTTAACACTTGTATTCTTTAAAGCCATTATGTTGATTTTCAGTAATACAGTTAATATTGAAGACCTTCCTTGAGGTTCTCATTCTTCGATCTTCATTGCTTTTTTTAAAAAATGATAACACAGCTTTCAATGGTTACCTTAAGAATGCCTTCCATAATTCAAAACATGATGGAACCTTGGTTAACATCATGTAACTGGCCTTTGTTTTGTTTTCCCTCCTAAAGTTATTCTAGGCTTCTGCGCATCATTCAATGTTGATGTGAAAAATTCGATGACATTCAGTGGCCCAGTGGAGGACATGTTTGGATATACTGTTCAACAATATGAAAATGAAGAAGGAAAATGGTAAGTCAGTGAGTTTTGTTGTTGTTGTTTAGTTATTTTACAAGGTAGTGGAAAATATTACTTGACTACAGTTTGTTTTATGAATGAAACTTTGACAGAATGAATCGTTTATGGTAGAAAATGCAGTCAAATTGTTTGGTAATGGAAACTGACTTAAAGTAAAAAAGGAAAAATTTCTTGGCAATATTAGAGGAAGTGGTTAGTGACTTCTGTTGAAGCCTGAATTGACCTCAAGGAAGATCCTTTTCAAAATAGTCTTTATTTGGTAATTGTGTTATTTTGGCAAGAGTTCCTCAATTGTTCTCATTTTAGAGTAGCTTGAATACACTAGGCTGAAATTTAGCAGGAAGATTTAGGAGGCAGATGAAATGGTGCCTCGAAAGGGTTAATATCACTTC